TGTTGCATTATCTACTGCGAATCCGCCTCAAAATCATTGAACAAGTTCAGTTCCAATATAGGGAACAGCAGAAAATAAATGAGAAATAACTGTTGTACCTCAGAAGGATATTTGACCTCAAGGTAAAACACATCCTAGGAAAGCTGTTGCTATAACTATAAATAAAATTACAATCCCTACTATTCCACCACAGAAAAATATGTAGGATCCATAACGTATACAACGCCCAATGTGTAAGTAAAGACGGATAAAGAAAAAAGAAGCTCAGTTTGCATGAAGAGTCCGTACAAGTCGGCCATAGTTTACATCTCGGGGGATGTGAGCAACGCTAGAGAAGGCTAAATCAATATGTGCAGTGAACTGTTTAACAAGAAACAGCCCAGTTACAATTTGAACTACTAGACATAGGCTTAATAAAGATCCACAGTTTCAGAATGTCGAGATGTTTCTTGGAACAGGTATATCTACCAGGGCTCCATTAGCAATGTTAAAGAGAGGACGGTTTTTACTAATAGGTGTTGTCATTAGGCAGATAATCGGAGCGGTCCTACAAGGTTTACAATTTTTACAATAACAATAAGAGTTAATAGGAGATAGAGGGCTATAAATAAAGTGATAGACATTGTTGGTGGTCAAATGAGAATATATCTAAGGAGGTGTATAGTCAGAGATGTACTGTATTGTGGAATTATTATTACCTAACCTCTGTTGGTGCAGCAAAACGGATAATCCGGCAAGGCTTTGGAACCAAGGGTGCCGGAAAATCGATGGTGTACCACTATTATTTTATAGAGGAGATTATATAGAGGGAGACATGAGGTTTAATCATCCATAGGAGCTTTAATTGTGAGGCATAATATAATTAGAATTTGATTGGGTTAGGATGGTTTAGGACTGGTATCAGATGCATTAGTTATTTTTTACTCAAACGAAAAATCTGTTAATGCAGGTATGTTGACATTGATATTCTGCTTAGAATTTCGTTAATATTTATAGCTGGATGGTGAAATTAAATTTTATATTGAAGATATAAAAGTGATTCTAATTTGTTACTAATAAAGTGTTTGAATATTCTGGTGGCTATAAAGAAGAGAGCACAGATTCTTTTTTTTGCCTGACTCCCAGCTCCTATGGTGGCTCCAGTACTATCTACTTTAGTTCACTCTTCTACAGCAGGTGTTTATTTGTTAATTCGGTTTAGTCCTGCTTTAATAGGGTCGGAAGTTCAATCTGTGTTATTGTTTCTTGTTTGACAATATTTATAGCAGAATTAGGCGCTAACTTTGAATACGATTTGAAGAAGATTGTTGCTTCGTCTACATTGAGACAGCTTGGTGTAATGTTAAGTATTTTAGCTCTTGGGTTTGCAGATTTAGCTTTTTCCCATTTATTGGGTCACGCTTTGTTTACAGCATTGTTGTTTATACGTGCTGGGGTAGTGAACCACGCGGAGTATCAAGATATTCGTCGTATCGGTAGTTTAGTCTTTAGTAGACCTTTAGCTAGGACGTGCGTAAATTTGGCTAATTTGGCTTTATGTGGAATACCAGTTTTGGCAGAACTTTATCCAAAAGAATTAATTTTGGAGAAAATTTTTAGAAGAAAATTAATTTAGTGGCTTTTATTTTATATCCTTTGGCCACAGGGTTAACAGTGTCTTATAGATTTTGTTTAGTTTATTACAGTTTAACGAGTTTATTTAATGTAAGGAGACTAAGTCGGGTTAACGATAAGAGAGTTGCAATAACTAGATCAATAATGAGATTAAGAGTTGATGGTGCGGGCCTTTCTTGTCCTGGGTCACTTTTCCTGAGTCATATATAATTTGCCTTACTTCACATTAAAGGTATTGGCTTTAGGAATAGAGTGTTAGGTGTTGCCTTAGTTGGTTATTGACGAAATATTTTAAGTGTTAATTATAGGTTGTGTAGATTAAAAAGTTATAGTGGAGTGTGGGGTCAATATGGTTCATGGTGTGTTTATCTAGTTATAGTGTGGGATCTATATGGTTCATGGTGTGTTTATCTAGTTATAGTGTGGGATCTATATGGTTCATGGTGTGTTTATCTAGTTATAGTGAGGGATCTATATGGTTCATGGTGTGTTTATCTAGTTATAGTGTGGGATCTATATGGTTCATGGTGTGTTTATCTAGTTATAGTGTGGGATCTATATGGTTCATGGTGTGCTTATCTAGCCCTGTTCAAGGAGAAGACTGGGAGAAGCTGTTTGGTGCTGAAGACGATGACAAGGAAAATGATTTTGATGGATTTTAATGAAAATATTCAGAAATATGGTATCGTAGTATTTGTTCAAGTGAATTAGGATAGAATATTATTGTAATACAACAGTAGTGACGATGTGGAGGAGGTGGAGGGATAGACCGGGGAGGAGTGTTGACTGGCGGGAGCAGGGACAAGTGGAGATGCCAGCCAGTACATTACGGGTGTACAGTATTAATTGTTTTTATCGCTCTTTTTGCATTTTAATATTAAATACTGTACATTACGTTTCAACAAAACTACTATTTATTTCTGAGAATATGGAAATGTAATACAGCTAGACCCTGACTTACGACTGCTTCAACTTACGACCGCCGCAGTTGTGACCATTTTTTTTTCCAAAATGACACACGCATTTTCTATACCGAAACGTTTCCAGTTAATGTAGTCTCCATGTATAATTAGAAAATTATGGGGGTCCCATGTGCATTCAGCTGACTACATTAAAGGTAAGTGCTCAGCCACACTGTATCCATTCATCATTATTCATTACTTTCACTGTACTGTATTTCATTGTAGATTTTTTATTTAATTTTTTTTTATCTATGTCGGACTTACGACCTGGATTTGGGTCCCTAACCCCGTCGTATTTTTACTGAAATGACGTACGTATTACAGTGGAAAGTGGGATAAAATTGTGACGAAAGCAATGACTTTCGCTTTCTTTCATTCAAAAGATGTTACCGTAATCGCTTTTCGAATGGTTTTCAGTTGCGGGATTATGAGGCTAATGATACGATAGAATATTATTGTAATACAGTACGAGTACAACAGTTTTTTAACTGAAAACCATTTGAAAAGCGATTACGATAAAATCTTTTGAACAACGAAAGAAAGCGAAAGTCATTGTTTTCGTCATGATTTTATCTCACTTTCCACTGTAATATGTACGTCATTTCAGTCAAAAAATTACATTTCCATATTTATTTCTAAGAATATATTCATTCAGTCACAGTTAAGGTAAAATATACTTGTGATGTAATATTTTAATGAAAATACGGTATCATAGTTTTCTTTTGTTTCAAATTTAATTAACAAAGATTGATGTTTCATATGTAATAAACAAAAATTTATGTACAGTATCTATAAATAAACTTTAATGAATGAATACTTTGTTTTATATCGTCCTGTGCTACCATACCATGCATTTGGCTACTTTGGGCTAGCTATGATGACGCAAGAGATCTGCCCTGGCGACTGTACCGACACTCACAGCTGGTGGTGCGTTGGTGCGTCGTTTCCATTGTTTACTGGTAGTTACTGGTAAATATTTTTTAAACCTAATGAAACTATTACCCGTTTAGAGGTCGACCCCCAATTTTTTGCCAAATAATTTGGTCTTAAAAACTCAAACTACACACAGGCATATACGGTAAATAAGGACATGGGGGGCCAGGGGTTTTTAGGGGGGGGGGCAGCAAAAGTACACGGATTTTTAACATTCACGGGTATCTCTGTTACCTAACCCCCGCGTATGTTAAGGGCCGACTGTACTTGCTTTCAGTCATCGGGTGAAAGATCGGATGAGGAGGAGATTCAATTTAACTTTTAGGCCATAACTAGCGCGCCCCGGGTGACGTTCCAGAACGTCCGCCTATTTTCCCGCCATTTTTTGTATTAATTCATTTATTTATTTATTTTTTAATTCATTTTGGAAAAGTTGACTTTTTCACGATTTAACCCCATGCACGGGTGTGTGTGTGTGTGTGTGTGTGTGTGTGTGTGTGTACGTACTGCCAGGGCTTAAGGGTTAAAAATACAGAGACTAAGAAATCTGTGGTTAGCGGCACAAATTTCTGAACATTGACCGGAAAATAATCCTGGTCGATTAATCATAAATCTGACTTGGTTAAGATGTCCAGGGATTACATCTGCTTTTACTCCCAGGGCTGGAACAGTTCAAGAGTGAATAACGTCGGCGGCAGTTACTAGGAAAGGACTTGTGTATTTCTAGGTAATACTGTTCGATTATCTACATCTAGAAGGGGAAATCCAGATAAATCTAGTTCGTTAGATGGAGTTATGTAAGAGTCAGATTCTACTTGTAGGGAGTCTGAATATTCATATCTTCAGTTTCATTGATGACCGATAGTTTTAATAGTAATCGTAGGGTTGTTAACTTCATCTAGGAGATAGAGTAGTCAAAGTTCCTCCTTATAGCAGAGGTCCACAACCTTTATACAGTCATCGGCCACATTATAAACAACAAAAAAGTATAGCCGTCGCACAGTGTAATTATGCACTGTTATAAATTCAAGAAAAGAAAATATGAAATTGGGCCTTAACAAATATAGAACTGAACCACACACAGTATTCAAACAAGTACAGCTATACAGTACAGAACAAAATATTAAGTGACATATTTTACGGCACATGAGAGACATCCTCCATTTCAGCGAGGAATATTTAGGAAAAACTTTGGTGTCTCACAGAACCACAGAGAACGGGTCACAATCCTCCGTCCAGTCATCTCCTTACTCCTTGATGACACAGTTCAGAAGGAAGAAACACCAAATGGGAGGGAACTACAACCAAGCTTCTTTATACAGTACAGTACTGAGCGATTTGATTTGACACACACAAATGGGTCAACTATATAGTGTTAACCAGTAATTGGCTGTCAGTAGAGGAGCTGGAAATAACAATTCCCAATAAATTATCCAAACTCTGCAAGTGTTGATTTTTGTTGAGGTACAAGAGAATTATTACATTACTAACCTCTCTGAGTGACCCCAGTGTCCTCTTCCTCAGCACCGGTGATGCCCCAACATCTTGGTTTGGCCTGCAGCTAGAAGCACTGTTGTTGACATTGCCCAACACTGAACGACCAGGTGTGCGGGGCGTGCGTAAGGCTTTCAGCGGTGATCGATTGCTGAACCTGAGGAGCAAATTGACTACCATGACCAGATGACCTCCATTAATGATAATCTTAATGTAAAACGTTCTGGAGCAGCAATGAATTTTGGAGCATCTAAAACAGTCTTTTTCACACTTAAAGACTATGATAATAACACAAGGTCTCCACTAATAGACAATAACACAAGGTAGATATACACATAATTGTCTTCTTTTTACTGTGTTACATGCACACTCTATCATATATACAGGTCGTGTATAAAAATAACTATAAGGTTAAGAAACATAAAAGGTAATAAGCCTTGTTCATGTGTAAGAGGAGTGGGGTGGTCCAGCAGCCAGACAGCAGTACCACGCTATTTGATATTTACATAGTATACACACCGCTTATTACATGGTATACACACCGCTTATTACATGGTATACACACCGCTTATTACATGGTATACACACCGCTTATTACATGGTATACACACCACTTAGCAAATGAAATATTATGACGCCTTAAAGTAATATTTCATACCGGGGCTACGACAGCACCAGCTCTCATCGAGTAAAGGCGGTCAGCTTCACCCCTATTGGACCAGCCTTTGAGTTGCGCCGTTGATCGAGTAGCTGTACGTATTTTATTCAATTTCTTTTACTCTGTTACATGCACACACAATTATTGATATAGCATGTGTAGAGTGTGCACAAAATAAATAAATATTAGCAGAAGAGATAATAATTTCTTATGTCCGCAGTAGTTAGTGTGTGATCGTGGGGGTTGTTAGCCATGGGAGTGTGGTGAGTGTTGATGTTGGTGAAGTGACCACGTACAGTCCCAGACTCTTCCACATTGAACACCCAACCAGACGACCGGAGAGGTTGAATTGGGTGAAGATCTGGTAAGCGTGTGTGTGTGTGTGTGGGGGGCTACTGCCTTCCTGGGGTAAGGACAGTATGGGTGCCAGTCAATAACTGATGTCGACTATTTTTAGTTATAATTATTTTCCAAATCTGACATACTGTACAACTTTAAGCTGATACACATTGTTAGGTGATTCAACTGCTTTTGCATGCACATTATAGTTCATGAAAGCATTAATAGCATATACTGAAACCATATGCTGTCGTAAGTCACGTTTTGACCTAGCCTCGCCCCGGGTAAACCAAAATGACCTCTTTACACTTATTGTTTTAATATGGTGCTACTAGTGGTATGGTGCTACTGGTGGTATGGTGCTACTAGTGGTATGAGATTATACTGGTGGTGGCGGTGCTACTGAGAGTAGATTGTGGAGGCGCTACTGAGTGGTATGGTGCTACTAGTGGTATGGTGCTACTGGTGGTATGGTGCTACTAGTGGTATGGTGCTACTGGTGGTATGGTGCTACTAATTGGTATGGTGCTACTAGTGGTATGGTGCTACTGGTGGTATAGGGTGCTACTAGTGGTGTGTGGTGCTGGTGGTATGGTGCTACTGGTATGGTGCTACTGGTGGTATGGTGCTACTAGTGGTATGGTGCTACTGGTGGTATGGTGCTACTAGTGGTGTGGTGCTACTGATTGGTATGGTGCTACTGGTGGGTATGGTGCTACTGGTGGTATGGTGCTACTGGTGGTATGAAGGTGCTACTAGTGGTATGGTGCTACTAGTGGTATGGGTGCTTTACTGGTGGTATGGTGCTACTGGTGGTATGGTGCTACTAGTGGTGTGTGGTGCTACTGGTATGGTGCTACTAGTGGTAGCATGGTGCTACTGGTGGTATGAATTGCTACTAGTGGTATGGTGCTACTACTGGTGGTATGGTGCTACTAGTGGTATGTGGGTCATACCCCAATTGGTATGGTGCTACTGAGGTGGTATGGTGCTACTAGTGGTGTGGTGCTACTAGTGGTATGGTGCTACTAGTGGGTATGAAAGTTGCTACTGGTGGTATGGTGCTACTAGTGGTATGGTGCTACTGGTGGTATGGTGCTACTAGTGGTGTGGTGCTACTGGTGGTATGGTGCTACTAATTGGTATGGTGCTACTGGTGGTATGGTGCTACTAGTGGTATGGTGCTACTGGTGGTATGGTGCTTTACTGGTGACATGGTGCTACTAGTGGTAGCTTAGGGTGCTTCTAGTGGTATGGTGCTACTAGTGGGTATGGTGCTACTAGTGGTATGGTGCTACTAGTGGTGACATGGTGCTACTAGTGGTATGGTGCTACTGGTGGTATGGTGCTACTAGTGGTATGGTGCTACTAGTGGTATGGTGCTACTGGTGGTATGGTGCTACTAGTGTATGGTGCTACCAGTGGTGTGGTGCTACTAATTGGTATGGTGCTACTAGTGGTATGAATTGCTGAATCAGGTATGGTGCTACTAGTGGTATGGTGCTACTGGTGGTAGCATGGTTGCTACTGGTGGTATGGTGCTACTAGTGGTATGATTGCTTCTAGTGGTATGGTGCTACTGGGGGTGTGGTGCTACTAGTGGTATGGTGCACTGGTGGTATGGTGCTACTGTTGTGGTCCGCTGCTAATTGGTGTGGTGCTACTAGTGGTATGGAGGTGCTACTAGTGGTATCCCAGGAAGTGCTACTAGTGGTATGGTGCTACTGGTGGTATGGTGCTACTAGTGGTATGGTGCTACTAGTGGTATGGTGCTACTGGTGGTATGGTGCTACTAGTGGTATGGTGCTACTAGTGGTATGGTGCTACTAGTGGTATGGTGCTACTAGTGGTATGGTGCTACTGGTGGTATGGTGCTACTGGTGAGGTATGGTGCTACTCTGGTGAATATGGTGCTACTAGTGGTGTGGTGCTACTGGTGGTATGGTGCTACTAGTGGTATGGTGCTACTAGTGGTATGGTGCTGCTAGTGGTATGGTGCTTTACTGGTGGTATGGTGCTACTAATTGGTATGGTGCTACTAGTGGTATGGTGCTACTAATTGGTATGGTGCTACTAGTGGTATGGTGCTACTGGTGGTATGGTGCTACTAGTGGTATGGTGCTACTAGTGGTATGGTGCTTACTAGTGGTATGGTGCTACTAGTGGTATGGTGCTACTGGTGGTATGGTGCTACTGGTGGTATGGTGCTACTGGTGGTATGGTGCTACTGGTGGTAGCATGGTGCTACTAGTGGTATGGTGCTTCTAGTGGTATGGTGCGCTACTAGTGGTATGGTGCTACTAGTGGTATGGTGCTACTAGTGGTATGGTGCTACTAGTGGTATGGTGCTACTGGTGGTATGGTGCTACTAGTGGTATGGTGCTACTAGTGGTATGGTGCTACCAGTGGTATGGTGCTAGTGGTATGGTGCTACTAGTGGTATGGTGCTACTGGTGGTATGGTGCACTGGTGGTATGGTGCTACTGGTGGTACATGGTGCTACTAGTGGTGTGGTGCTTTACTTCAGAGTAGTATGGTGCTACTAGTGGTATGGTGCTACTGGTGGTACATGGATGCTACTAGTGAGGTATGGTGCTACTGGTGGTATGGTTGCTTTACTAGTGGTATGGTGCTACTAATTGAGGTATGGTGCTACTAGTGGTATGGTGCTACTGGTGGTATGGTGCTACTAATTGGTATGTAGTGCTACTGGTGGTATGGTGCTACTAGTGGTATGGTGCTACTAGTGGTATGGTGCTACTGGTGGTATGGTGCTACTAGTGGTATGGTGCTACTGGTGGTATGGTGCTACTGGTGGTATGGAAGTTGCTTTTGGTGAGTATGGTGCTACTGGTGGTATGGTGCTACTGGTGGTATAAGTGCTACTGGTGGTATGAAGATTTGCTACTAGTGGTATGGTGCTACTAGTGGTATGGGCAAGCTACTATTAGTGAGAGTATGAAGATTGCTACTAGTGGTATGGTGCTACTAGTGGTATGGTGCTACTGGTGGTATCGGTGCTGGTGTGTAGTTGCTGCTGGTGGTATGGTGCTACTGATTTTGGTATGGTGCTACTAGTGGTATGGTGCTTACTGATTTGGTGTATGGTGCTACTGGTGAGGCATGGTGCTACTTGTGGTATATGGTGCTACTTTAGTGGTATGGTGCTACTGGTGGTATGGTGCTACTGGTGGTATGGTGCTACTACAGGTGGTATGGTGCTACTAGTGGTATGGTGCTACCCCAGGTAGTATGGTGCTACTAGTGGTATGGTGCTACTAGTGGTATGGTGCTACTGGTGGTATGGTGCTACTAGTGGTATGGTGCTACTAATTGAGGCATGGTGCTACTGGTGGTATGGTGCTGCTGGTGGTATGGTGCTACTAGTGGTATGGTGCTACTGGTGGTATGGTGCTACTAGTGGTATGGTGCTACTAGTGGTATGAGGTGCTACTGGTGGTATGCAGGTGCTACTGGTGGTATGGTGCTACTGGTGGTGTGAAGTTGCTACTGGTGGTGTGGTGCTGCTGGTGGTGTAGTTCAAGCCTACTAGTGGTATGGTGCTACACTAGTGGTGGCGGTTGCTACTAGTGGTATGGTGCGCTACTGGTGGTATGGTGCTACTAGTGGTATGGTGCTACTAGTGGTATGGTGCTACTAGTGGTATGGTGCTACTGGTGGTATGGTGCTACTACAGTATGGTGCTACTAGTGGTAATGGTGCTACTAGTGGTATGGTGCTACTAGTGGTATGGTGCTACTGGTGGTATGGTGCTACTAGTGGTATGGTGCTACTAGTGGTATGGTGCTACTAGTGGTATGGTGCTACTGGTGGTATGGTGCTACTGAGTGGTGTGTGGTGCTACTGGTGGGCGCAGTTGCTACTGGTGGTATGGTGCTACTAGTGGTATGGTGCTACTAGTGGTATGGTGCTACTGGTACAGGTATGGTGCTACTGGTGGTATGGTGCTACTAATTGGTGTGGTGCTACTAGTGGTATGGTGCTACTAGTGGTATGGTGCTACTGGTGGTATGGTGCTACTAGTGGTATGGTGCTACTAGTGGTATGGTGCTTACTAGTGGTATGGTGCTACTGGTGGGCATGGTGCTACTGGTGGTATGGTGCTACTAGTGGTATGGTGCTGGTGGTATGGTGCT